TGCCCACAGTCTTGCCAGACGACTCGGTGCCCGCAGTCTTGCCAGACGACTCGGTGCCCACTGTCGTGCCTGGTGACTCGGTGCCCGCCGCTCCGCCTGGGGGCCTGAGACCTGTCGCTCCGCCTGGGGGCCCGAGACCTGTCGCTCCGCCTGGGGGCCCGAGACCTGTCGCTCCGCCTGGGGGCCCGAGACCTGTCGCTCCGCCTGGGGGCCCGAGACCTGTCGCTCCGCCTGGGGGCCCGAGACCTGTCGCTCCGCCTGGGGGGCCGAGACCTGTCGCTCCGCCTGGGGGTCCGGTGCCTGCCGCTCCGCCTGGGGGCCTGAGACCTGTCGCTCCGCCTGGGGGTCCGGCGCCCGCCGCTCTGCCTGGGGGCCCGAGACCTGTCGCTCCGCCTGGGGGTCCTGCGCCTGCCGCTCCGCCTGGGGGCCCGAGACCTGTCGCTCCGCCTGGGGGTCCTGCGCCTGCCGCTCCGCCTGGGGGCCCGAGACCTGTCGCTCCGCCTGGGGGTCCTGCGCCTGCCGCTCCGCCTGGGGGCCCGAGACCTGTCGCTCCGCCTGGGGGCCCGGCGCCCGCCGCCCCGCCTGGGGGCCCGATGCCCGTCGCCCCTCCTGGGGGCCCGATGCCCGTCGCCCCGCCTGGGGGCCCGATGCCCGTCGCCCCGCTCGGGGGCCCGATGCCTGTCGCCCCTCCTGGGGGCCCGGCGCCCGCCGCTCCGCTTGGGGGCCCGGTGCCTGCTGCTTCACCTGGTAATCCGATGTGCCTCTGCCCAGAGTCCAGCCCGATGTGCCTCTGCCCGGAGTCCAGCCCGATGTGCCTCTGCCCGGAGTCCAGCCCGATGTGCCTCTGCCCGGAGTCCAGCCCGATGTGCCTCTGCCCGGAGTCCAGCCCGATGTGCCTCTGCCCGGAGTCCAGCCCGATGTGCCTCTGCCTCTGCCCGGAGTCCAGCCCGATGTGCCTCTGCCCGGAGTCCAGCCCGATGTGCCTCTGCCCGGAGTCCAGCCCGATGTGCCTCTGCCCGGTGTGCCGCTGCCCGGAGTCCTGCCCGCCCGGTGTGCCGCTGCCCGGAGTCCTGCCCGGTGTGCCAGTCTTTGATATCCCGCCAGTTACCAGACCCGGGCGGTGGAACATTTTGCCCAGCTAGGACTGTTTGGAGCGTCCTGAGGCCGCTCCTTGAGGGGGGGGGGTACTGTCAGGAATGGACTGGCCAGCAATAGTGGGACTCACCTGCCTTGTGAGCTGCAGTACCAGGGCTGGCCAGCGGGTGCTCCCAGCAATGAGAGACTCAACCTTGCAGCCAGTCAAACACCTGGAACTAATTATACTGGTGTATTTAAGGGACATTCAGACCTGCAGACTCTGCCTTGGTGTTGTGTTTTTCCTGGGCCCTGTATCTTGTTCCTGCATCCTGCATCTGCTCCTGTTCCTGTTCCTGTCTTGTGACCCGGCTTGATTCTGACCGCTGCTGACTTCTCCTGTTCTGATCCCTGGCTTGTGACCCCAACCATTCTCTGCCTGACCCCCTGTACCTACCTGCCTGTTAGTTGCTGTACCCTGCTCGTGACCTGACTTTCTCCGCTTGCTCCCCCTGTACCTATCTGCCCAATTGATATTGGCCCGGCCTGCCTGACGACGCTTGCACTGTATGTACTGTTATCTGTGGGTGGTTGGTTGGGTTTGTTTGCACTGTGTTATGTTTTTTAGTATTGCACTGCGTTTATGTTTGTATTGTTAGTGTTAATAAATTGTTTATAACTTATCGGAAGTCTGCGTTTCCCTGCGTCAGTCACACACCTCTGGTCATACCCGGGAGCCCTGACAGGAACTCTGATGTAAAGAGGACTTCTGATGAAAAGGGGAACTCCTGATGTGAAGGGAGGACACCTGATGTAAAGGGGAACTCCTGATGTAAAAAGCTACACTTGATGTGAAGGGAGGGGGGGACTCCTGATGTAAAGAGCTACTCCTCATGTGAAGGGGGAGTTTCTAAGTTGACGAGAGGCACTCCTGATCTAAGGGGATACTGATGTAAAGGAAGACTACTAATGTAAAGGGAGACTGTGATGTGAAAGAGGGACTCTTGATTAAGGAGGGCTCCTGATGTAAAGGGGGACTCTCCTGATGTGAAGGATGTGACTTCTGATGTAAGGGGGGCTCCTGATGTATAGGGGGCTCTTGATATAAACAAGTTCCTGATGTAAAGGGGGACTTTCATTTAATAAGGGGACTCCTGATGCTAACTATAGAGCTCCTGATGTAAAGGGGGACTCCTAATGTAATAGGAGACTCCTGGTGTACTATGTCTGCAGTCTCAGATCATCTCCTGTAGTGCATCCACAGTCTTTGACCATCTCCTGTAGTATGTCTGCAGTCTCTGACTATCTCCTGTAGTACATCCGCTGCGGATTATCATCTCCTGTAGTACTAAATAATATGTACAACCCTTTGGCGTGTCAGGGGCTCTAGTTGAGGCCTACCAAAATCTCATCAGTTGACCATACTGGGATGCAGTCTCAAAACAAGCTATATTGTATGTCCACAATATAAATAGAGTATATGAGAGTCAGATCAAGCCCTTTCTGGCCTAAAGTGGACCTGTCACCACTTACTCTACTGTACATACCCCAAATGTCATACTCTCCACACTCAGTTTCTGCATAAACACTCAGTGGCCAATGGTTTTTGAACGCATAGCAAAAATATGTCCCTGGAACTTTTTTTGAAATGTTGGCAACTATGCACTTGCTGGGGATTTTGATTTTTAGAACACCTGTCTTCCATTCCCTGACACTGCTCCCTCTCTCCTACTGGGCTCAGCATTGAAGTTTTAGTTTGCCTCATTTGCCAGCTGTGGGTAGCCAGTGAGAGGAAGCAGGGAATGCATAACCCCACAGCGAGTATGGAGCATAGGTTTAGGAAAATAGATGTTGGAACTAAAGCTTTTGTTGGGTAATGTGAAATGTAGGCGTAATGGAGAGCTGCCTAGTAAGTGATGATCACTATACAGAGGGAGCTTGTGTTGCAGTACATATCCTGGGCCATGGGTGGATTGCCATTAGTTCATTGTACACTGTACAGCAATGCATTCTTAATTTTTATCACTTGAATTATTTTTCCCATTATGGGATTGAGTGGGGCCTCTAAGATCTGCCTAAGACCTCACAAAGCCTAGAGCCACCTCTGTTCTTGACACCCAGTAGTCTGGATGGATATGATCTTTTGTGAGTGATTTAGTTAAAGCTTTGTCACCCTTGCCCATGTTTGCCTGGTCAGTGAAAAAGTGCCTTAAGTTGAAAAAATAAAAACCTTTCAAAAATAAGAAATATAAAATAAATAATAAACATATTAAAAGAAATGGCAGGTGGGAAAATTTTGTGTTACTTTTGCATCCTACAAAATAATTGTTAAATAAACAGGCCCATAGCAGCAAATTTTGCTCTGGGCTATTAAGGGTAACTTAGGACCATACACCTATGCTCTATACTTAACACACATGCATTGACATGTTATGTTGAGTGTTGCATTAAGGCAGCCTATTCACTTGAATAGGCTGCCTGATGCACCAGTAAAGTGTGTGCACTGTGTGAATCCGCTCTCAAAGCTGCTGAACTCTGGGGAAAAAGAAAATAATTAACATTGTAGTGGAGGCCCTCTCATGCTGCAATGATTAAATGTTTTTTATGCCTAGGGTACCAGGAAAAAGAATGTTTACTTACCTTAACCCTCACTGTATCTCCAGCCGGCACTCATCTCTTTTGACACCTCAGATTGTCCCTCAGTGTCCTCATTCACACAATGCAGGACTACTGGTCTTGCATTGTAGTTGTATATGTCAGAGCTGTGACTGCTGGCCGGAGTACCATAGAGAAGAAGCTTTTGGGTACTGGTCTCATGGAAGGAGACATAGGAGACATGACATTAGGGGGGAGGGTTTATAGGATTTTGTGAATTTTTGTATTTGATATTTGTATTAAATGATTGGAATTTTTCTTAAAGAATGTCCCCCTTTTTTGTTTATGGGTTGGATTGATTAGCCGGTATATAAGCCTCCTGGGGTGCCATATACCGCTGTTCCCCTGAGGTGTTTTCCTAGGGACTGTTTTTTCACATGGAAGGAGGAGCCTGCGACAGCGAGGGATTAGATAAGTAAAAGTATTTTTCTGGTATACCTAGGCAAAAACAAAAAGAGCATTTAATCCTTGCAGTGCTAGGGGAACCCCACTGCAATGGCATTTTTCATATTCCCAAAGTTCAACTTTAATGTTCTTTTATCCCCTACTTTTAAAGGGCTAGATGTCATATTTTAAATTTAGTCTTGTGTGCAGCCATCCAGCTCTACATCACTACTGATGAGTTAAACTACTATGATACCATGTTGGCTTTCAGTGGACTATTCATTTATATACCAATTATACTGGTCTATATATTTGCCGCTTTTCAAGTGCAAGAAAATTTGGCAAAGGTGATAATTAATGGTATTTACTGCTCTTCAGGGCAAGATTAAATCTTTTTTTTTTTCAGTAAACTAAATTTCTTGTTGAAGTGAGCCCATATTATGCATTATAACAGTGGAGAACTAGAGTACCTATACTGTAATTGCATTGTGAGAGTTTAGAGAAAGGTTAACACCTACCATGTAAATTGCATCTATCAAATCTCACAGCATCAACCCAATTTCACTGCATCTATCCTATTTTATTACATCATACTACATGTACCCCATGTCACTGTATCTATCCCCTTTTAATTCCCTTATCCCATATCAGTACACCTACTCCATTTCAGCGCATCTAACTGATCTCTCTGCATCTTTACCATTGCGCGCTACATTGACTTAATCTCACTGCATCTACCCCACTTCACTGTCTGTATCCCATCTCTCTACATTTACCCAACCTTACCACTTGTATCCCACATCCCTTCATCTACACAGATGAAGATGCCTATACCCCATACTCCATCTACCTCATTTGCCATTTCACTTAATGAAATGTATCCTCACCACTTGCTGCTCTTTCTTTCCACTTCTGCTTATTCTCCTGGATATACTTGGTCCATGTTGATCGGAAGCTGTTCAGGTCAGCATTAATATCACCCAATTCAGCCTGTTCATCTAGCGATGGTTGTCTCCACTGAGAGCTATAGGAATAAAAACAAAAAGTTTTGGTCAGTCACCTCACGTTCCCTTAAAAGTTGTAGCCTTCTTGTTCACATCGGGGTTGATTCTCTAAAGGAAAATATACTGTGCACTTTGCAAGTCCAGTTGCTCCAGAGCTAAGTAAATGATAAGAAGGTCTGCTGACTTCCATCATCCAATCACGTGCAAGTAAATATATATATATATATTTTTTTCATTTTAATTGCATGTGAACAGGTTTTCTTTGTAACGTGAAGCTTTACTTCATTTACTAAGTTCTTTGGAAAGTAAGCGCAACTGCCCTTGCAAAGTACACAGTCTATTTGACTTTAGTAAATCAACCCCACTGTCATGAAAAATACTGTATTGTAGATAACATATAGAGTATAAAAAGATTGTCTTAGTATGTACCTTAGATTGTACGCCCCTTGAGGGTTAGGGACTGATGTAAATGTACAATATATATGTACAGAGCTGTGTAAATTGACAGTGCTATATAAGTACCTGAAATAAGTATATAATTTTCTTTATTAAATCACATAACTTTGTGCATGTTAAACTAAAAAAAGGAATGCATATACTGTAAATCATCACATGATCTATACCGTTATTAGAATAAAATATTTGTTTTTGCATAAGTGGTCCTTAAGTCCGCAATTAATTGGCTCATCATGTGTCCCCCTACCCCCCACAGCATCACCTTTCCTGAGATGAAACCAGTATCGTAACTAGAATCATCAGGGCCCTGGTGTAAGAAACAATTTTTTACCCTTTTTTAAACTTTATTTTCTGTTTACAATTTTTTTTAATAGTTTTTTAGAAGCTCCATTGGGGGGGTTTGGTGAAATATCAGGAGTCTAAACAGACCTCGGATGTTCAAACTTTGAGACAGAGAAAGGATATTGAGGATACAGCTCTCAATCTCCAACTCCTTTCCATTCATAAATTGAAGCATAGTAAACACCATTTACTATGCCCCAGTTATGAATGAACAAAGTCAGTGATTGGTACGGATCACTGGCTCTGTTCATTAAGACAAGGAAAGGGCCGGTAAATGACACATTTACCAATCCCTACCCAGCTCTCCATCATGACAGATCCCTCACAGTGGCAGGAGAGGGGAAGCACACAGGCCAGCAGAAGAAAGAATCTGGATAGGAGGGTGTCGGGGGCGGCTGAATACAGAGGAACCAACCTCTCCATTTTCTTCCTGCAGCCCCTGAATGCCTATGAGTGGAGGAGAATGAGCCACCTGGAGCATGGAATGTGTTGCAACTGTGACCCCTGTAGATATGCCTCTGGCTGAAGTGCAGGAATACACCAAGAGAGTAGATGAAAAATGCTTTTAGTGAATACCTTGGATAAATCTTTCTTATGTTACAGCAATCACTCTCTGTACACATACCACTTACAGCTGTATTCAAACATCACAACATATTAAATAGTTATTATCAGTGTTGTTTTCTCATGGAATAGATGTAGGTGTGCCTCCCCTCCCCCTAAGTCACCCATTTTCACTTCCCTACTCACCTCTGAGCACCATTCCTTGTTCCAGCCCATTACCCTTTTGCCAGTACCACCCCTTTTTAGAGAACACAGAACCAAGTATCACATTTTGGTGCTAAGTAATATGTATGGAATTTGTTAATGATGACAGGAAACGCAGTAAAATAGATACCCTGCTGCCAACAACAATATATATAGTACATTGATACCCCAGCACCTCTAGACTGCCCCCAGCAACAATAGACCCACCCAGCACTAAGAGACCACCCAGCAACAATCCAGTGGATTGCTTCAAAAAAGGCCTGGATTGTTTCTTAGATACACAGAACATAACTGGATACTAACATTTATAGGTAAAGTTGATCCAGGGAATATCTGATTGCCTCTCGGATCAGGAAGGAATTTTTTTCCCAGCGGGAGCAAACTGGATCATGCTTTACTGGGTTTTTTTGCCTTACTCTGGATCAACTGTGGGTATAGGATTATAACTTTTTTTTATTTTATTTTATGGTTGAACTGGATGGACTTTTGTCTTTTTTACAGCCAGACTGACTATGTAACTATATGTAACAACAGAGCTGCCCGGCACCATTAGACTGCCCCCAACAACAGCCATGAAAAGAACCTTCCCAAAACTATTGCTATGAGGTTGGAAATGCACCATTGTCTAAAATGTGTTTGCATGCTGTAGCATTAACAGTACCCTTCACTAGAAAATTCTAAACTCACAAATTTTGAGAGGGCTACTGTATACATATGATGGCCTTATGGTTAGCTTACATGTCCACAAATGTTTGCCCATATAGTGGTTGTTTTGCTGAAGTCAAATAGGTTGTTCACCTTTCAAGGGAAATATCTTTAGAGCTTAGTGCATGTAGTGAAGTTTCAATTTGCAAAGAATGCAAGGAATGTAAAAAATACATTTTTGCTTACACGTGATTGGATGATGGAAGTTAGCAGAGCTTAACTTCATTTACTAAGTTAAGTGAAAATCTCCTGGCAAAGTGAACAGCCTATTTGACTTTAGTAAATCAACCTTATAGTGTAAGACTGGACAGCTCTTCCTGCAAATTTGTCTCCTGGTGGCACAATCAATGTAATCTATTAATAAGAGGCAGCAATTTGTGTATATCCCATGCAGGGGCGGACTGACCATTTGGAAACTCGGGCACTGCTCGAGGGCCCGGGGTCCGTAGGGGGCCCCATGAGATGCCCCTGGTACCTTTTTCATAGGCTTTTTTGAGTTTGGGCAAGGACACAGGGGCCCCATGATCCAATATTGCTGGGGGCCCCATGAGTTGTCAGTCTGCCCCTGATCCCATGCCTATGATATTGTCAATGTCCTGACAGGCACCATTGGGGCCAAAGGAAGACAGTGCCCCAAGGCACAACCACAAGTGTGGAAGTCCTTTGCTGCTTTTAAATGGAAATGATATGCAAAAGATAATGGTTTTACTGAGTAGCTTTTTTAAATAAACTTTGCTATTGAATCCCAAATTAGACAGACAGACTTTACATTTTAAGTACAGGTCCACTGTAAAGGGCAAGAGATAGTCATAATAGTTATCCTTACAAAGACAACCATTTTGCCATGGGAAATGATTTCCTGCAGTACACTTTCCATGGGAATTGCAATCTAAACTACTCGTGGCCATTTACACCATTTTCTTTGATGACTGTTCTCCTCAAACGTTTACTTTAAGATAAATCACAGTTTTAGAAGAAGTAAGATATGAACAGACCTGGACTGGTTGACCGGAGGAGCTGGTTTAGTTTTGCTGCCCTCTTCTACTAATGGAAGAACAATCTTTTGAGCCACATCAGTCAGCACTGAAAATGTTGGGTCGACAATAAACTCAATGAAACCTGCAAGGAAGCAGATGACGATTCACTGATAGTCTGTAATTTCAGAAATCATAGGGTGACCTCTGTTGACCTCGTCAACATTCAAGGACATTTTTGATGTTATCTTCTGCTTTCAGGTTCAGCTTTCCAGCATATTATATGATAAAGAAAATTGTAACATACCTATTTGAGACTGAGCTACCAATGTGGATTTGCGGTCACAAAGTGGAGAGAATGGCAACCCCATTTCAGCCTCTTTGTCACCCTGGAGGAGGTAAAAAGAATATAATTAACAGAAAGACTACTACAGTAATTCAGCTTCTGAACCAAGTGATAAGAAAGGTATTAGGCATCAATCACAAGGGTCTTTTCTCATACATCAAAAAATTCAGAAATCCTGTTAAAGAATGATGCTTCCCCTCAATCATAAGTAGAAACTAGTGGCTGACTTATCCAATGGCATCTAAAAGTGAACCTGTCAGTCAGGGGAGTATTTACCACAAGACAAACAAGGCATTTTCCTAGGGCGGCATTTTTCAGGGGGGTAGGGGTAGCAGTATTTTTCAGGTGGGCAGCGCTGTCCCCCTGAAAGAATGGATGGAAAAAAGGACACACACAGCATGGGGACCAGGTGGACCAGGCTGCTTGATGGTCTATGCAGAGCCCGACTCTTGTTCCCGGGGCTGTCTGGAGCTGTGAAGGTGAGTGTCTTATCTCTTCCTGGCGTGGGGGGTTGCCAGTGTATGGGGGGCGGTGGTAGTGGAAGGCTCGTTTGGGTGGGGGTGGGGGCTGGGGTGTTGTTGATCAATGTCAGGCTCTCTTCATGGGGGAGGAAGTTGTTGGTCTGTGTCAGGGCCTCTTCGTGGGGGGGGGGGGCCAATTTTTGTGTTGCCTAGGGCAGCACAAAACCTAAATACACCACTGCTGTTAGTAGTAATTCAATAACAAAACTTGCTAATAAGGTGCATGATAAGTTACTAGTTCATACTACTTAGACATGTCACACATGGAAATGTCCACTTCAACTGTGACTTGAAGGTCAGACACATTTACTGCATCCTATTTATGCATGTCTCTATTGGTCACTGAGGCATGTGAATTTACATATGGCAGGTTGTAAGTACAAAGAGCAAAAACAGATGGTATGTTCAAACACCTTGTGATGATTTCTACTGGAAAACCATGTCAGCTTGATATCAAATTATAACTGGCATGTACACAATCTCTCAGGTACTCAACATTTCCTTGCCATAGTTCCCAGCTCTACCAAGGGGTGATTTATCTGTCTGTATCCACTACTAATGCCCCCTGATTTAATCACCTGTATATACTCAAATTGTCAGTTTTAGGCGATCATACCTTGCTTTCAAGCTCTTTACTTGTCAAGGATTTGTATTTCTGTCCATTTAGCCCTGATAATTGTATTTCTGTCTATTCATTCCTGGGATTTACACAACCCTGTCATACAACACAGCAACCCTAGATAATTGATTTATTCTGCTGCAATACAACACAGCAACCCTAGATAATTGATTTATTCTGCTGCAACTACGTCTTGCATGGGTCCCAGGCTCCCAGGCTGTGATTGGACTGTGAAGGAAAAGCAACAGACTGATGAGTTCATTTGTCTATCACTCTGCTCTCTTGTCCTGTAAGCATGTTTTTTTTTTTTTACTGCCAGAGTCCTACAGCACAACTGATTGCCTGCTTCTGCTGCTTATCCCTTTCCCAAAGTAAACTCTGCTGTATAAAGGAGAGCAAGAGGCCGTGACGAAGTTCAAATTCAAGTAGTATCTCAAGTTGTTACTAGTTATTTTTTTAATGAATACATATCAGCATTTTCACAAAAAGCTTAATAACCGTACCCTCTATATTCTTATCATGACAGAGGACAGTAGGCACTTCAACTGGCTATATACAAGTGTTTACTTCTGTTGTTTAGCTGTAAAATGACTATGACACAACATGCCATCTTCCACAGTTGCTACACCTTTAGATTTATATTTTTAATTTAAATTTAAAATGCCCGAACAGTAGTTTAATATGCAATAATATTCCCCAGAAAGACTTGCAATGCAGTCTGTTATTAGACTCATAAAGTCAACTGATATATTATTGTAGGAGTCAGGCTAGATGATGGACTGCTGTGAAAATAATAATTGAAAGAGATGAGTATCTAAACAGTAAAATGGTGTTGCTGTATTAAAGAAATTTCTACTTAATGACAATGTTACCTTTTAATAATACAGCACAACAGACAACAGCAAATTTCCTTCCCACAGAGAACATAGGATCCAATTCACACAATGCCCAAAGGACACATCATTCGTAATTACAAAGTATTAACAAAGTTCCGTATACCTATTAATAGTATTTACAAAAGTTCAAAATGCTTGAACTGCATCTGCATAGCTGCTTACTTTCTGTTACTTATTCCAAAATATCTTTGAGCATACTATTTCCTCTACCCACTAACTTCTAGCATGGCCATATTTGAGCAAACCACTTACATTCTGCATAACTCAGTCTTTTCATTGGTCCAAGACATTGGACTATAAGACATGCTTATCAAATATTCAATTAGACATTTGCCCAGCAAATCATTAACAGCTATTTGGCCAAGTGTCATAGGATAGAATTTGCATACTAATTTATGGCTTCATTTGTTCTATATATGATGTAGAGGCTAAAGGGCAAATCACTTGTTAGCAATTGAACTACAGTAGGGATGTATGGTTTTTTTGGGCAAATGTTAGACAAATTGCCATCAAATCTTTGAAAAAAGTACCTCTCTATTACCAAAAGATGGGCAAAATCATTATGTTCTTTACACAAATACGGACCTTCCGAGAAACCTCCAATTAAATCCATAAGCATGTATGGGACTTGATTGGCAAGTAACTATATTATTTTCATTTGTTTTAAAAATAGTAAATGGTGTATAGTATAGAGCTTTCAGAATATGAAACAACTAACATAAACATGATGCTTGCGTTATTTTTTGTTTTTGAGGCTTTTCATTTCAATAGCATTTTTCATATTACATAATGCTGTTAACATACATTTTACATTTGAAGAATACAGCATCTTAAAGAAAAAAAGTTAATACACACTGTTTTTTATTGGTTGAACTAGATGTCTTTTTTCAACCTGACTATGTAACTATGGGGTTGAATTACTGAAACTGGAGAATGCAAAATTTGGTGCAGCTGTGCATGGTAGCCAATCAGCTTCTAACCCAGGGGTGGGCAAACTTTTTGACTTGAGGGCCGCAATGGGTTAATATATTGGACCCGGGGGCCGGACCAAGAGTAGATGAATGATGTGTATGTGTCATCCATAGTAAGTATAGTAATATTCCCCCATAGTAAACATAGTAATTAATCCCCCATATAGTAATTCATCCCCCATATAGTAATTCATCCCCCATAGTAATTCATCCCCCATAGTAATTCATCCCCCATATAGTAATTCATCCCCCATAGTAATTCATCCCCCATAGTAATTCATCCCCCATATAGTAATTCATCCCCCATATAGTAATTCATCCCCCATAGTAATTCATCCCCCATATAGTAATTCATCCCCCATCGTAATTAATCCCCCATATAGTAATTCATCCCCCATAGTAATTCATCCCCCATATAGTAATTCATCCCCCCCATAGTAATTCATCCCCCATAGTAATTCATCCCCCCTATAGTAATTCATTCCCCATATTAATTCATCCCCCATATTAATTCATCCCCCATATTAAGTCCCCAAGTCCCCCCTGTGTCAATTCACTTACCTTTGCTCCGCGCGTTCCTCTCGCCGTGTTCCCGCGCCGTTCCGGTGTAGCATGAAAATCTGTCTCCTATGAGGATCTGTCCCCCTCGACGTATCTGCGCATGTGCCAGTTTCAGGCATCAGCAGCCGATCGGCGATCTCCGGCACATGCGCAGATACGTCGAGGGGGACAGATCTTCATAGGAGACAGATTTTCATGCTACACCGGTCTTCAGGGCGGACTGTGAGAGGAGCCTAGTGGGAGCCTAGCTCCGCGGGCCGGATTAAAAGGTCCGCCGGGCCGTATACGGCCCGCGGGCCGTAGTTTGCCCATTGCTGTTCTAACCTGTTGAATGAAGCATTGAAAAAAAAAACTGGAAGCTGATTGGTTCCTATGCAGAGCTGCACCAGATTTTACACTCTCCAGTTTAGTAAATCAACCCCTATGTAACACTCAGTTACGTACCACAAACTTTGCTTTTGCTTATGCACAGCAAAATTGTTGAATATGTTATGAACTTTAAACTGGCTCATGTATTGCTCATCATCAATGTAATCCATCCTATATAGGAAACCAAGGTTGGAGATTACAACTGGTCTTCTCAAACTAGAACAAGTGCATGGCAGAAAATTCACTTCTCATTCACTGACTCTGACTCTACTCACTATCCAGTTTTGGTACCTTTTCAAAAAATCTTATTTCTCAAAGGGGCTAATAAAGAATATTATAATATAAACATTTACACATATAGAACCTCATGGAGTTAAAATTCCAAATAAAAGGCTTATTAGAATGGTAACCAACATAGTGCTAGTGTAAGATAGCATTAGCTATCTACTGTATGTCTTTTGAGATAGTTTTCTAGTCACTAGGAAAAAATACTAAACCTGCAGCTTAAATGTAAATGAATTAAACACCACTGAGGCTGATGCTGAATAATAATCCATATTGCTGTTTGCTACCTGTCGAAAGAACTCCTCCATTAGAGCTTTGGTCCATCGGGCATGCACCTTCCACTGCTTTGTAGGGTGGCTAATATCAGCTGCATGGAGTAGTAAAGATAGTGCCTTTGATTTGTCAGTGCTGCAATAAGAACCAAGACAGACATGGTAAGTAGATCTAGGCATGTACTAAAAAAAATCCATAATTACTGTACCTATTTTGTAGGTTACTGTAGTAACTGCAGTAACTGTACAATCCAAGGCCACCTTAACCATTAAGATAGCTGGTGTGCTGTTAGACAACTGTTTGAAGGCCAGAATGTATAAAACTGTTTTTATTCAAACCCCCTGGATTTTGGAATAAAACGTTCTCAGGAAAAACTCCTTTATCAGTGTGGGGAAGGGTCTGAAACTCCATCAAATTTTCCTCTTACAATAGGTTTTTGCTAAGTTTTAAAAAATTTAGCAAGGCATGTAAATACACAGCTTACATTTTCTTTGAAAAGGAGCATGACAGGCTTTCAAAACCAAGAAAATGTAAACTTCTAGAGTTGGTAAGGCCTGTGTACTAGGGCTCATGACCCTGTTGGTTGAAACTCTGTCAGGTCTCTGTGGTGAGATCTCCTCTTATTTCCTTTCCCCAAACTCCCCAGCAAGGAGACAGAAAGCAATAAAACTTGACAAAGGTTCCAACCCTTCACCACACATAGTTTCAATTATAACATTCACTCTGTCTCCCTAAAATCAAACATTCCATTTCCATATAAAATTTACTGATAAAATAATAGTAGTGGGCCACTGATATCTTAAAGTAGCTTTTTTAAACTGATGATAGAAGCTAAGTAATTTAATTATATACATTATACTGCAGCTAGACTCTTCATCAGAAAATCACTTAGGTTTACAAACTCATTTTGGTGTGTTACCCCAGACTGAAAGCCTGGTGCAGTGAACACCCTCTTCTTTGGAATACAGTAGATCAGAACTGTATGTATGAACAGCTTACTATAGAATGTGTGGCTAGAGAGTGCCATTCTGGTAATGGCTGTAGGCTGCTTTTTTGTGACTAAAAATAAAAAAGCACATTGTCTTCAACAGCGTTAACTAAGGATGACTACTAGTCAGAGCAACACTCAAATCAGCATGATGGTGATTTTGCATTATGGATTGTACAACTTAAAAAAATGAGCTTGTAGGCAGACTGTTCTCTCCTAACACATTTCTATTTTATGAAATAAAAAAAATGTATGCATGTACTTACTTCTCCAGGGACTGTAGGGAGCTTTTCATTGTTTTCACTTGTTGGAAGTGACAAGACATGTCTGTGGCCAAGACCATCTCAATAACAAGAGACCTTAACTCCCTGAAAAAGCAGAATGAAAAACTGGGAATGTTGGACAGAAGAGCTTCTCAAAAGCTTCTGGTAACTCCAGCAATGTATACAACATAAGGCAACTCAATTTTTGTTACTCTGTAATGTGTTATAGTTCCACTCCCAGTGCTTTACAAGAGATATGGGCAGCCAGGCAAATGACTTGAAACACAATGAGATCCCAGAGACCATCACATATGTCATTGTTCAGTCTTACAACCTCAGCACAGAAAGCTGTTCCTCATTGATGCATATATGCAACCTCTTGGCGTTAAGGCCATATATGTGTACAGCCTGAGGGAACAGATTAAAAGCAAACAAAACCTTTAGGTACTTCAAATGACATTTTTCAAACCATTTACTGGGAATTCTTGTATACATTTTCATGTGAATGTTTGTACGTGCATTTTTTAGAAAATTTACTAATGTATGGTCAGTTTAGGTTTTGCTCTAGTACAGTAGAAAGTTTCCCGGTAAGCACTTTCTACATGCATTCTATCTTACATTCCTATGGTATTATTTGCTTAATACAGCTACAATCCCCAGACTGATGTAATCATACTTTAATGTTTTTCTTTTAGCTTTAGCTCAAGATGTGTAAGTAGCTTGGAATCTGTTGATAATAAAAAACCAAAGCGGAAACAAGCAGACATCTGTTCATTCCTCTCCAGAACAGGCCTGATTATCAATTCATTAATACCGGTGGTAATAAAATGCATTGGATGTCCATAAGCTCCCAATTATGTTAATAATGTTTTGTACTGTTAAGAGCAAACAAGTTTACAATTCTGAACATGTCCATTTTTTTTAATTCTCCCTTCACGCTTTGCTACTTTAGGAAACAAAGTGATATTAATTAGTTAGAAAGAACAACAAACTTACGTGAACTCATCTTTGGTGAGATTCACAAATATGTTCATTTCATCATCTTGCATAATTCGATATACTGCACTTACATGGTGGTTTTCAAGTACTGATCTGTCATTGTACAAGATAGCACAGTCTGACCTGTGAAGATAAATGTGAATAATGAGACACATTTATATACAGAACATACTGTATATTGAAATTAGACACAGGGTCATTCTGTTTATAAAGCATACAAAACTTAAAAATCAATTCCAAAGAAACTGCACAGACTGCACATACAATAGACAGCAGAGTTTGACCACCAATGGATACAGCAGACCTGGTCAGATGCACCACATGCAGCCACCACATCTGGATTGGTAAGATGCAATATACAAGAATGTTTTTCATGGGTTTAGATACTCTTTAAGCATTAGGTTAAGGGTTGAGTTCAAGTATTAAGGGAGTAACTTTTGTTAAGGGTTCAATTTAGAGGGAATATAAGGCCTGCTTCACACTGACAATTACCTGAATAACCTGGACAGCATCCAGGCTCAGACACTCATCCTGAACCTCAACACTCCACTCCTTTGACCTTACTACCATCGAGGAGGTCACCAAGATCTTCTCTAATGCCCGCCTCACCACCTGCCCCCTCGACCCTATCCCCTCACAACTCCTACGACCTCCTTCCTCCTCCATCCTACGCTCCCTCACCCACATCTTTAATCTCTCCCTCTCTTCCGGCGCATTCCCCTCCCCTCTGAAGCACGCGCACATCACCCCCATACTTAAAAAGCCCTCCCTGGACCCCAATGACCTGAACAACCTTAGAACCATCTCCTTGCTGCCATTTACATCCAAACTCCTCGAGCGCTTAGTCTACAATCGCCTAAGCTCCCACCTCAACCACAACAACCTCCTCGATCCCCTATAGTCCGGCTTCCATCCCCTACACTCCACCGAAACTGCCTTACTCAAACTCTCCGACGACCTGCTAACCGCCAAAGCTAACAGCCACTATTCAGTGCTCCTACTCCTTGACCTCTCCGCGGCCTTTGACACAGTCGACCACCCCCTCCTCCTCAAAAAACTACACTCCCTTGGCCTCAGAGATTCCGCTCTCTCCTGGGTCTCATCCTACCTATCACAACGCTCCTTCAGCATTACCTATAACGCTACCACCTCCCCCTCACTCCCGCTCTCTGTTGGGGTCCCCCAAGGCTCTGTCCTCGGGCCCCTTCTCTTCTCCATCTATACCTCCTGCCTTGGCCAACTCATACACTCTCACGGCTTCAACTACCACCCCTATGCCGACGACATGCAAATCTATCTCTCGACCCCTCACCTCACCCCCTCAGTCTCCGCCCGAATCACAAGCCTACTGAACAACATATCAGACTGGATGTCGCTCCACTTCCTTAAACTGAACCTCTCCAAAACTGAGCTCCTAATCTTCCTCCCAGCCCGCACACCACCCCCCATTGACTTCTCCATCACGTCCAACAATGCCACCATCAGGCCCACCCCGCAGGCCAGAGTACTTTGTGTCATACTTGACTCCAATCTATCCTTCCAGCCCCAAGTCCAATCGCTAACAAACACATGCAGACTCCACCTCCACAACATCGCCAAAATCCGCACGTTCCTAACCCCAGAAACCACTAAGCAGCTCATCCACTCCCTCATCATATCATGACTCGACTACTGCAACTCCCTCCTCAATGGCCTGCCCCGCCACAGGCTATCCCGCTTCAGTCGATCCTGAATACGGCAGCCAAACTCATCCACCTTACCAACTGCTCCATTTGCCAATCCCTCCACTGGCTTCCAATTGCCCAATGGATCAAATTCAAAATCCTAACACTAACGTACAAAGCTGTCCATCATACTGCCCCAAACTACATCACCGACCTAATATCCAAGTACCACCCAACACGCACTTTCTCGCTCCTCACAAGACCTACTTCTCTCTAGTTCCCTAGTCTCCTCCTCCTATGCCCGCCTCCAGGACTTCTCCAGGGCGTCACCCATCCTCTGGAACTCCCTACCCCAATCCATCAAACTATCACCTACTCTCCTCTCCTTTAGGCGCACCCTGAAAACCCACCTCTTCAGGGAAGCCTACCCCACCCCCTGCTAATTGCCGCCCTCCTCCACTCTTCCTACCACTCCATCCCCCACAGCCATTTCCTCCTGTACCACTATCCCCTCCCTCCTAGATTGTAAGCTCCAAGAAGCAGGCCCCTTGTGTATCACATTGTATTGTTATTGTACTGTCTCATGTATTTTCCCCCCATTGTAATGTACAGCGCTGAGCGAACTGTTGGCGCTATATAAATACTGTATAATAATAATAAGTAATCTCTAGGTGTACAGATACTTGTAAACAATGACAGCTGTTGTCAGTCTGTCATTACTTTGTACAGGCTGAGCGTTGCCGCTATTCACATACACTTGTCACGAAAAATCCACTGGTTCTTGCCACTGGAATCCATTCTATCCAGGTAATCCCAATGTGAAACAGGCCTTAGGGTTTAAGCCAGCCATAGGCACTACAGAGCAGTTGGATGTGTAGGTGCAGCTCAACTATCCTCAGATATCTGTTCAGATCACCATTTTTCCACACATCAATGCGTAACAGTTTACTAAAAAGAAGGCAGAGCTCATTTTGGGAAAAGAAAACATTTTGTTTGTTCTGCCCCCCCACAAGATTTCGGTCCTGCCCCCCAGGTCCAGTGATGTTGGTATAAGGAAGTGGGGGGGCCAGGGGATAGTGTACAGGCTTGGCAATGCCGGACCAGGACACACCACATTATTAGTTGGTTTGGTGCTGGAACCATGCAAATTATGTCATTGATCCAGGGATTCATAAGAAGATGGAAGTCCTGCTTATGTCTAGATCTGCCGTGTCTCCTTCCCCCTGCCATGATGCTATGGCTGTGATGCAGATTTGAAAGTAAGACTTGATATGTGAAGGGAGGACTGAGAAATCTATTGTTAGGGTGGCTGACTCTGATCTGATGGAGCTTACTCTTAATGAGATGGGTTTGGGGACTCGGACTTGAAGGAGGAACTCTATTGTGAAGAGGGACACTAATGTGATGTGGACTCTAATGGGAAGGTGGGAACTCTGAAGGGAAGGGGAATCTGAAGTGATAGGGGGCTATAATATAAAGGAGGAGCTATGATGTATTGGTGGGACTCTAATATAATGAAGGGACCCAGATGTGATGGGAGGACTCTAATCTGAAAGGGGAACTGATGAGGAAGGGGGAGGACTATTACATAATGGAAGAACTTTTATGTGGTGGTGGGACCAGTGGCGGACTGACAACTCATGGGGACCCCAAGTAATAGGGGATCATGGGGCCCCTGTGTCCTTGCCCAAACTCAAAAAAGCCTATGAGAAAGGTACCAGAGGCATCTCATGGGGCCCCCTTCTGACCCCGGGCCCTCGGGCAGTGCCCGAGTTTCCAAATGGTCAGTCCGCCCCTGGGTGGGACTCTGATGTGAAGAGGGAACACTGAAGTGAAGGGAGACTCCCATATGTGGCACCAAGGAGAGATTGACATCTTCCAGAACAGTTGTCAGCCCAATAAATACAGTCTGGGACTGGGGTGCCTCATGATTTTGCACATTTTTAAAGGATGCTGTGACTGGAAATGTTTGAGAAACGTAGACCTAATACATAGCCTTTTTTTGTCAAAGCAATGTAGAGACTCAGGGACTGAATTTTTTAATGCACCCCCAGACCAGGCAGGCTAGCTCCTGCTCTGGGTAGAAGTAGTATTCGACAACTGTTCATGGGTTGCTGCATTTGTCTAGCCTGTCCATCCTGTTGGAAATGGGGTTAATGTGACTGTGGAATGCCAGGAAAATGCCATCGAATTTCACTCAGGCGAATGTCAGACAAATTTCCCAACAAATCCTTCAACTGCTGAAACTAATGTACTTACACTGTGAGGAAAAGGCGGCTGTCTGTTTTCCATAATGTCCACCAATGGCTCATATAATAGCCACTGATTAAGCTGTATAACATTTTGGCAGATATGTCTCTACACTGCTTGAATAATATGGACTAAACCTTGGTAATTCACTGAAGACATGTGACTGTCACACTGTTACTATGGAAATGGTGCAGAGTTTTAATGTGTGACAGCTCTTATACTTGACACATGGGAGTTTCTGATGCAGGCAATTCAATCCTAAGAATAAGAGGACATAAATATATCATTTTAATACTGTTTAAAATCAGTTCTGACACTTGATAATTAATATAAAATTGAATCTTTGACTTGTAACTGAAGTGTAAATTTCTTTCCACAGTTCAAATAAAAAAAGATATGTTCCAATACATTTCATTAAGATATATGCATCATTTCTTATACAGCTTATGTTTTTAAATGACACTTGCTTAAAGCAGTATTAACCCCAAAAACATAAAGTAATGTGTTTCAGCTTATCAATCCTTAAATGTGATGGTTGCATAAAATTTCCTGTTGCAGGCTTTTTCACCCTTTTTCACCTGGTGATCCAGGCAGAAACTGTTTTAAAGTGGCTCCACTCTATGGAGGAGCAATGGGCCACCCTTATATGGCAACATTATAAGAAAATCGGACGAATAATCGTCTGGTTTTCCTCAATATTTCACAGCAAGTCGAAACTGAGGATGGTACAGAAAAATTCTTGGATGACAAAGGCTTCTTTTTGTTGTTTATTGTTTCTGATCATGTCCAGTCTTAGATTTTTCTCGTATGAAAAATCACATTAAACAAGAAAAATGTTGGAGTTTGTCCCTTTGGAAATTTTCATTTGGAAATTCTGAATCAGATGTACAAAGTTATGTATACACTATACAAAAATCAAACGATTGCACCTTTGAATTTTTCTTCCGATTTTCTCATATTGCTTTCGCCACTTTAGATCGACTAGCAGATTTAGAACAAATTATAGCCGAACTCCAGCTCAAAATTTTTAAAAAGAACAGACTAATTTAACTGATCTTAAAAAAGTCACATTAAAATGGAAATAAACCCTACTCTCCTTTACAGCCAAGGGAGCTGCCATCTTAGCCTCTGTTTGATCTGCAGTTGCCATGGCGCTGCACATGTGATCAGTTATGACACCAGTCGTTTGACAGTTTCACAGTTCGGTTGAGAGCACAAGCAGAGGCGTCCCTAGGGTAGGTAGGTGTCACCCGGTGCAGTAACACTTGGTGACACCCCCTTCGACAATCCCTGCAGAATGGATTGGATCTGCGGATTGAGCATAATGGATCAGACTCCGATCCATTATGCTCAATCCGCAGATCCGAGGCATCCTGCGGGGATCGTTGGCTTTCTTTACAACTTACCTTTTCTTGGAGCGGGTCCGGTGTCAGCCCGTATAGGTTGCATGCCGACGAGGATTGTCGGCATGCAACCTATACGGGGTGACACCGGACCCGCTCCAAGAAAAGGTAAGTTGTAAAGAAAGCTGACTATCCCCACATGATGGATCGGATCCATCCTGCGGGGATCGTTGGTTTGCTTTACAACTTACCTTACTGTGGAGTGGGTCCGGTGTCACCCCATGCGGTCAGTGTCACCTGGTGTGTACCACAACCCCTGCACTTGTCTCGGAATGTCACTGAGCAAAGCAACTATGACCGTTATAAATCACAACTTTGAATTGAACTGTTTTAGAAAAATGGTTAGATTGTTGGGTTTAGTTCTATTGAATGTACTATCAGTTATCAGTATGTCTGATGATGTATGGGGTTGATTAACTAAAGGAGTACAGTTAGTCCCTTACATATGAACTTTCAAGCTATGAACTTTCAAAGTTGCAAACATATGCCAATTGTATAAGTTAGTTCACATTTCTGGTATACATTCTCATGCATGCATCCTCTACAAGTGGTTGTGCTTCTGTCTACTTTAGTGTATACAGTACTTTCTCTTTAGTTCAACCTTTGTTTGTATGTATTATTTGTGTGAAATGTGTTATAAACCAGTAATTTATTATGCAGATAGTGTTAGTTTGGTACCTAAGCTAACTTTGTTGGACTTACAAACAAACTGGACTTACAAACTTGCTCTCGGAACAGAACTTATTCGTATGTAGAGAACTTGCTATGTAGCATATTCAAAGTAAATTTTCGCTAGGCAGAATTAATACAGTAACAATTCATGTGTTTAAAAAAAAAAATAATCGTGTGCCAGAAGAATGAAAAAACTGAATTTTTCCTTCCATGTGATTGGATGATTAAAAGTCAGCACTGAATTTTCTATTTGCAAAGTGAATTTTTACTTAGTTTAGTGAATTTGTGCTGATTACAGTCATTCAATAACACGTAAACAAAAATCCTGTTTTTTTTTTTCACCTTGCATATGATTGGGTAGTCTTTGCAAAGTGAATCTTCATCTTGTTTCACCTCATTCACTACGATAAGTGAACAATAACTTTGAAAGTGAACATGATCTTGTCCTTTAGCAAATCAGGATCAAAGACTCCATGTGTTGCAAGCTAAACCATAGTGCATGCCAACTTTGACAGGCCAGAGAGATACAGAAAAGCAGAATACATGTAAAAAAAGGGGCCAGAAAGATAAAGTGCACACAGTAAATATAATATATAGCTAGAGAGAGATAAAAATGAAATTTGGATTTAAAATGGTGTCTTTTTTATGTTCATAAAACTGATTATAAATGCACTTACTTTGTCTGGATGTGGAAGCTATTCGTTGTACCTGTGTGTTCAAAATCATGGATGGCAGCTGCAAATATAATTGCCAGGATCTCAATCTCATTCAGGCAGTGCTATACAAAGAAATAAAAAAACTTAGGTGTCCGTTTGTGAACCAGCGGTAATAGATCGCTGCTCAGTTCTCCGGCATTCTCGGAGAACACAGTTCTCCTGTGAATGCAGTTTATGAAGCAGTTCTCCGAACGAAGGGAGAACGGTTTCCAAACGCTGGAGAACGGTCTACAAACTCTGAAAAACGGCTCATTTTACTATAATCTCTCCAGATTATAGTAAAAGACCAGTTTACTAAACAGAGGTAAATTATCTCTGCTTAGTTTTCGGTCCCTCTGATTCTCCAGCTCTGGGCTGGAGAATCTGGACGGAGAACACAGATCTCCAGAGAAGGGCTGACATGATCTCCTGAGTGCTATAAACTGTGAATGACCAGAGAATAGCTGAGATCCGTTGAATCGCAGCTATTCTCTGTGTCATAAAAGGACACCAATATATTATCAGGTGACCAGCAGAGGGAGTAACAGGACAGCTAGATTCACTGGAAAATCAAGCTACAAAAATGTACCACTTTAAGAAACTGAAACATTCAAAGTGCATTGTTTTAAATATTGTTAAAATGTTGAATATTTAATGAGGTTACATTAGAGTTAAAAGGAGCAGAAAATCCTCTTCAAAGACAGTTTTCTCCTCCGCACTTCTGTGTTCTCCAAGTGACTGACCTCTGCGGTTATTACATGGAGTTTAAATATTTACATATTCCATTTTAGCTCTTGCTTAAATATTATAGAAATGACAACGTATTTCATTAGTGCTCTCATCCAAAGTTTGTTTTTTTTCATTACTGCTAGAGCATTCTGTCTGACAAAGGCGGGATTTGTCACATTAGTGTCTTGAGAGTCTTTCTGTTGCTTTGCAAAATATCTCTTCTTAGTTCCAAAGTGAACTAGACATATGTCGTCTTATTCTCGGCAAAGAGCTTGCATTGGTAATATCTAGTGTCGGCTTTGTGTTAATAGAAGTTATATATATATATATATATATATATATATATATATATATATATATATATACCATTTGTGTTTGTCCAAAAAGTTATATTGGGTTGAACAGCAAGAGATCCACAGTCACGGAGGGTTTGAATTTTCTCTGATGGATAACGATTCTGACCTGCAGTGTTCTCATGTGGACTTTAAAGCTGAACTGTGGCCACCTTACAGTACAGTTTAGTCCTTACACTACAGTACACTTTTGACCTTACAGTACAGTACACTTTAGCCCTGAGACGTACAGTTCCAAATGGAGTACACTGATCATAGCAGGTTGCTTGGTTGGCATCTCGTTAATTGAGAAAACATATTGCATTCCTTTCGCAGAATGCAAGGGGCTCTGTGATTGGAGGAGGTGCACAGTGTTCCAGTAGACGTTAGGGTAGCATCACCTTCATGTGGAGTGATCACTTTCTCGATGGTGCCTGGCTGGGATGTCATTGAGGGGAGTAGCACAGGATGTGGAACCAGCAAGTCTTACTAAACAATAATGCTGGGGCATCATTCCTTTCTCTGACACTGGGGTACCATTCCTCACACTGACCATTGACCCTGGGGCACCATTCCTTTCTCTGACACCGGGGTACCATTCCTCACACTGACCATTGACCCAGGGGCACCGTTCCTCCAATCTAAACAGGGCACTGTGCCTCACACTTGCACAGGGGCAACATTCTTTTTATGAGCTACTGATACAAGAGTACCATTCCTGGGCAACATTCCTCTCGCTGACCACTGACATAGGAGCTTCATTCCTGCCACTTACACAGGGGCCCAATTCTTCTCAATGACCACTGACACAGGGGCACCATTCCTCTTACCGATTACTGATGTGGGCAACATTCTTCTCACTGACCACTGACACAGGAGCTTCATTCCTCCCACTTACACAGGGACACAATTCTTCTCAATGACCACTGATACTGGGGCACCATTCCTCTTACCGATTACTGATGTGGGCAACATTCTTCTCACTGACCACTGACACAGGAGCTTCATTCCTCCCTCTTACACAGGGGCACAATTCTTCCCAATGACCAGTAACACAGGGGCACCATTCCCCTTTCTTGCACAGAAGCATCATTCCTCTTACACAGGGGTATCATTCCTGTCACTGACCACTGACATAGGGGCGCCATCATCCTACTTTTTTCTACTTGAGATACATTGCTCAGCTACATCCTCTGCTATTTCACTGTAAATGAAAAGCTGATCCATACATTTGTGTTCTCCTGACTTGACTACTGCAATGCTATACTCACTGGTGTACCTAAATCCACTATTAATCGATTTCAATGTTTACAAAATTCTGCAGCCAGATTCCTAACTAGGTCTGGTACAAGTGATCATATTACCCCTATCCTGGAATTCTTGCTCTGGCTACCCATCAGGTTTCACATAGACTTTAAGATCTTCTTGCTCACCTATAAGATTATTCATTGCTTGGCATCCTGTTATCTGTCTGAAGAGCAGAGGTTACGAGGAAGGGAGTAAGTTGATAAAAGTTCAAATTTTGATCTTCTGTGTATCCCCCCTACTCACCTATACTTGATGGGAAACAGAGCCTTCTCCTGCTATGCTCCAAAACGTAATTTCACTGAAATTCACTGAACATTATCCTATTTCTTTCTGTATGAGGATGATGACACTAATTATTTTAATTTAAAAAAATGTAAATACCCTTTTCCTAATTGATATACAGCTGTCACATGATCCAGCTCTTTCCCTGCTTGTATGCAGGGAAATATACACAGTAGGAGCTTCTAGTCCTCTGCTGCTGGTTACATGTTCAAAATAAAACAGCCTTTTGGATACAGAGAAAAAAAAATATATCAAACCGTTTTAAACTGTCATACAAATATATATTTGAAATCAAATTATTTTTTGGCAATAACATGGTGTGGTCGGATTTCTGTTTGTCACAGGCTGTCACACCCCTACAGCCTGTGTCTTACAATAACAGGGAGGTGAAGCCTCCATCAAACAAGATGTAATTTTGCCACACACACCCCCCGCCCTATTGTGTTGATCTGGTTAGTGGACATGAGGAGGGGGGAGGGAGTGGGTTGTCATTTACCACTGTGTATATGTCCACAGTGACTCTATAGTAACACAGGCTGCTCAGATGTGATAAGGAGGAAATGCCCAGCATAGAAACTCACTGTAACTCACTGTAAACTGAGCATGTGCAGTAGCTGCCAACACTACTCTGCAAAATCCCTAGCTGCATTGAGGATATGGACAGAAGGGGAGACAGAGAACAGAAGGATCAATCAGGTTTTTTGCAGAATACAGAAAACAAAACCCATAATGACTGATTGAGTATGAAAAGCATGTAATACAGAATTTATTGATAATTTCTAATGATGTGGGTTTAGTGACACTTTAAGTAACTGTACAGTATTGGAATGTATCCTATGGAATATGTATAAGAAAAAATCCAGTGGTTCAAGAACAAAATACTGTATTAAAAGTTCATGTGTGTAATACAAATGATATGTTTTTAAATATAAAACATAAAAAATAAACAACTAAACATTTTTTAAACTACAGAGAAAAAGGTTGTTGTACCAAAAAGTCCCCAAAAACCTACAGGGACTATTTGCTTCAAAGGAGATTGCACACATGTTCTGGTGGACTTAATAATTGAGGGCTGAGCAAAAATTCCTATATCATGGATCATAGTTTCAAGATTAAGTGAATAGAAAGTGGTGGAAGATGTCTTCTATGAAAGAGTATGAACAAAATGAGAGTAAGATCAGTGTCTTTCTTCTGTGCTAACATTGTTAACATTTCCACTTCAAAATAAAGAATGGATTTGGGATTTGTTGGGGTTATTTGAGAATTGTTGGTCAAGGAAGTGAGGTAATGAAACAAGATGATTTTCTTGGTAATGTGGGACACCCCTGCTAATAGGGGAGTGTTGGAAAATGTAGTCCCCACTAAGTAATTTGGTTCCCTCTCACAGTTATAAATACCCATTAGCAGATTAACTGTCTTCCTAATCTATGAAACAGCTAAACCATGACAGACACTGGAAAGGTTCATGCAAAAGCTGTTTTAAGTACAGTTTTGTTGTACAGGAGAAGGATTAATTGGAAGAGGAGAGGAGGAAGACACGTAGAAATTCAAGTGAAAGAAGAGGAAGAAAAAACAAGGAAACATATTTTACCAATACGCTCGAAATTAATGCAAAATGTCTTATATTTGTAAAGAAATGAGAATATGTACATATATATATATGTACACATTTTATTGCTAGCTGTTAAACAATTTACTAATCACTTGGCATTATGTATAGAAACTTAATTAGCCTTTTGGTTTTTTCTAAGTCTCATTTGAGACTTAAAGCAAATACCCTTCCCACACTTGTTGCCGCACGCGAAACTGAAATGATAGTAAGTTTCTTTTGTTACAAGGCACAGTTTTAATGACTTATATAATTTATGGTTAGCTCCTTCATTATATAAAGCACCATTTATTACAGTAAATGAGGGTACACAGCTGCTGGCACAGCACAAATTAAACTATTTTTTATTCTGCCGCTAATTAGGTAATAAAATAGAGCCTGCTTTTCAAACCAATGTCATTTCATGATCACTTAAAGACAGTTTACACTCCTACATCTACATAGGAACACTAAAATTTAGTGTGGATTATGCTTTTAGTTTATTTTGTTTGATTATTACCAAAATGTTTGTGAGCGCGATTAATGCAATTAGGGACAGAAAACAGATCATTTACGCATCGCAGGAAGCGATCGTTAAACACTTGTAAGTTGCCACTATACAAATGTGTCTGGAATATTCATACACAGGGAATTCACAGCCTTACCAGCTTGTAGCCCCTTGGAATTTACTGTGTGGCCCCAGTCTGTTTTCTCCACTGTAGATGGTGCTCAATCGAGTGGTACCACTGCCTGAACAGGTAGTCCAAGGGAAACATGGTTTCTCTATGGTTTCCTGGGTCAATGGAACAGCGTAATGGTTGGCTATGCTGTGACCGTGTGATCC